CATAAATCCAGACATATATAGATTACTCATAACAACTACGAAGTTTATCTTGTCAAGCACTGTTCACCAAAGACATTTTCAGGTCCACTGGCGTCACCTCTAAACTGTAGCTTAGTTACTCACAGGTCTTTACTGACAGTTATCAGACTGATGATGTCGATATTAAACATCTGAGAGATTCTGCGTTCTGTCACTAATCGATCTTAAATGTGTACTGTAAAAAAGCGTCCTAAAATCTCAATTACATTTTCAAGAGATAACAAATGGAATCAGTTTAGAAAGCATCATTGAAAGTCTGCCTTGCATTAATGAACTGACTCAGAAGTGATGTCCCAGACTGCAGCTCGTTCTCTAATTCAGCTAACATCGTAATGACCCAGTACCCACCTAGGCTCCACGTCGACTACTGCCCCACTTGATGTCCCAGTCTCCAGCACATCCTTTGAATCAGTCGATGTTTAAGGCTCCACCACGTCCTTCGATTCAGTTGTTGTCCCAGACTCCAGCTCGTCCTTTGATTCAGTTGATGTCCCAGGCACCATCTCGTCCTTTGCTTCAGTTGATGTGTCAGGCTCCAGCTTGTTCTTTGATTCAGTTGATGTCCCAGGCTCCAACTTGTCCTTTGATTCAGCTGATGTCCCAGGCTCCAGCTCATTCTCTGACTCGTCCTCTGACCTATACCACCAGTACCTTTTCCAGTCATCGTCCCGTCGCCATTCATTTTCAGGCGTAGGGTTGCCCTCTTCATCCTGACATAAATATAATACAATGTCAAACGTAATCCTCCTCACATTCATTAGTCATTGCTTTACACCACACTGAAAATTGTTCCACATTATGAAAAGTTTGATGAATTTGAAAGTTGGCTAAAAGAAATGTGCTCACAAAAACTATATTCTACACTTCCTTTGTAAGCTTCAGCAAATTGTAACGGATGTCATGGACTTACGTGATAACATGACCCCAGACTGGATATATTGCGATGACAACGTACAGCTGCAGCTAGATCATCCACTTGGGTTCTGGTCATTTTCACACCTCCAAGGCGCAGGTTCTTCAACCGAGGAACACAGCTGAGCTGTTGTGCAAGAACGCTAACTCCTTCACCTAGAGGGTTATATGACAAGTATAGATCGCCCAGGTTAGGAGCTTGGTACAGAGATCGAGAGATGATAGCAGCAGCCTTGGCTCTCAGATTCATACGCCAAAGCCCTAACTCATCAAGTTTGTTTGTAAAGTTGATATTGGAAACCAGAGACTCCAGCAGCTGTGCATTAGGGATTTCACCTACTTGAACAGAAATCATTATCGATCGTGGAGACGCTACAAATGGCAAAACGTCAATTAGTGTCTCCATTTCCTGCCCTTCAAGATATTCTATATTAATCTCCCATGCCAGGGACAGACAATGTCGAGGTCCATTAGAGGCGTTATTAGTGTTCTCAGTCAAACACAAAGCAGTTGTGTTCCCTTGTTTATTCGATTGGTGCTTTGGTGACGAAGTGAGATCCTTTAGCATTTCGTTGGGGAAAGAGTAATCAAACCTCTTATAAATACGTGCAAAATAAAGGTACATGTTCTCTTCCTTCTTCAAGAAAAAATGTTGAACTGAACGAGGGTGATATCTCTTCAGGAAATGTGATGCTTTCCTTTCGCCCGAACAACTGACAAGCAGTCCATCCAAGTCTTCCAGCACAGTGATCAAGTCACTATAGTCTTGCTCTGGATGCTTGCTATCAGAAAAAAATATGTAGTGTGGAGCCTGAGAAGATATCAGTAGGTGGTCATCGGCAACACTATGGAGCTGGTCAGAATCAATTAATAAAACACCTCCAACGTAAGACAGAAACATGGGGTACAACTCTCTTCTCTTTGCGAGCGAGCAACAAAAAAAACTTCGTGAACAGAGTGTTAGAAAATGTCTTTGCTCACTTGACAAATCTTCAATAGAGGGCGTCTCAGAAAAGTTGTACTCTGTCAGATTTTCTTTCTTTCCTACCATCCCCAGATGGCTTAGAACAGTACATGCAGCCTCTTCTGACAGCTCGCATGCAAATGTGAGAACTTCAGCGTACTCGACAATCTTTTCGAAAGAGTCAACTTTGGACAAACAGGTTATAGTTTCTTCTTTTCTTGATAACAGCTCTTCCTTGAGATGAAAACCTGCAAGGAACTCCTGTATGGACTTGTGAAGAAAGTAAACACCTTTCTTGGGATCCAAACTTGAAATTTTTAGCATCTGAAACAAGCCCGCTTCAACTAATGTCTTCATCAAAATCTCGCTGGGAAGTTCGCTAACATGCAAAAAATGACGACGGAGTAGAAGTGCATCGAATGCAAGTTTTCCCAGTATAGAGAGTTCCTCTTTGTAGTCATCAACCTCTCTACGGACCCCTACATCTGCATCTTTTTCTGTCCTGTGATCCAGTAAAGTCTGGATAAAATGCGTGTAAATGATGGCGCGCGATTTTGGTAGTCTCCTATGATATTTTTCCCTCCAGAGTAAACACAGCATCAGCAGGAGGAGAGGTATTTCTGCCATGTCTGTGAGATCTCTCTCTTTCAAATGTCTAACAAACTTATCAACTTCTTCTTTGTCTTTCAAAAACCTGCTCACGAACGTTTTGATTCCATTCTCGCTATCAAATCCATCAATCTGATACTGAACGTGACTAGAAATTCTTAGACTGTCAGCATTCGCTAACCGCGTCGTGATAATAACGTGACAATCCCTCAGCAGCGTGCCCTCCCAGATGTCATGGACTGGTGATTGTTCTCCTTCACAGCTGTACTCATCGTAGCCATCCAAAATGAGCAATACCTTTTCTTGATTCTGGAGGATGTACTTATACAAGCCATCAGATGAAAGCACGCCATCACCAGCCAGCAGCTTAGCAGCAGTAAAAATAGCTGGTACCTCATGCAAATCACACACATCTCGCAACCTAATTTGAAGCACAATATCAAATTTCGTTAGGATTTCTTTTCTTTGCTGCGACCAGTCGAAAGCAGTCTTTTTGGAAAATGTGGTTTTCCCTATACCTGGCCGTCCATAGACCAAAATTCGCTTTGGGTTTGGATAATGCTCATGGCCTAGGAATATGTCGGTGTAGTCTTCAAGTTTCTCTTTCGTCACTCCACTTGGCTTGGTGTCTTCTCTATGCCACGATAGCTGTGTGTATATCTCATCAATGTGAACTGCTGAGTTTCGGTCCCAAGGAATGATTTTTACTTTACTCATGGTGTTATAAAGTGAATGAAGCTGTTTCTGGCACTCCTTAAGGTCAAAAGATTCTGTAAAAGAAAATGGACAATTCACATATATCTACTCAAAGAGATGCGAAACCCGGTGCCCGTAATTTTGGCGTCGGTTTTCAGTTTTATCTTGTTATTTTCGTGCAGCATCAAAGGATGTCGAAATTTATCCAACGAAAGGAAATCAAGAAATTCATCAATTACCTTTATAATATAGGGCGGCACTATGAACTCTACTTAACTTTATATCAATAACTCTATCATTTGGGTCTATTTTCATAAGCGAAAATTCCTTCACAGTTGAATCCGACTTTCTATAATAAAAACATCTAGTCCTGTGAAAACTGCAGGATCGAGAGGAAAAACGTGTTTAGAAAACTATAAGATCGAGAGAACTGAGACAAAATAGTTTGACAAAATGCTCGAAAAAACGCCACGAGGATAAAACGATCCTTTTAGTTTACTTAAGACACGAGCCAAGATGTAAGGCCAAGGAGAAGCAAGCTAAGATCGAAAATGAAATATGTCAAAAGGCAATTGAGTAGTTGAATCAGTTTATTCAAATGATGACAAGTGTATTCCATCCCAAAAAAGTAAAAAAGAGAGGAAGCAATGGAAAAGAAAGAGAGAGAAGTTGGCTGAGACAAGTAGGGAGACAATTTACTAGTCATACTAAATTCACCCTTATCAAGGAATCATTGGCTGAAGCGTATCTTACCTCGCTAAAAATACGGTTCTGATCATGAATACCAGCCTATCACTGGTTAAAAATTTATTTTACTTTAGCACAAAACCGAATTCAAAATGTTTGTTGTTGACTGCAGTTGGAAGTGATTTACCACTTGCTCTGTTCACAATTCGTATAAAGCTCAAGTTTTCCACTCGAGTACAAACCCTCTGAAAGCTTGCGTAAGGATATCAAATAAATTAATGCAATTTTTTCAATGGACACTCTGCAGGCCAGCTAATAAAAAATCCTGCTGCCCATTTATATTCTTGGTTCGGAGAGGGGGGGGCGAGGGTAGAGGTCTTCGTGACTGAATATTATCTTGAGAGTAGAGGGCAGAAAGGACCACTTACAGTTTGTTCAAACTCATTTGATCATGAGGCGTAAAATGAATAGTAAGTCAATTGCAGAAGAGAAGTACTGTGCACTCTTCACTTTGGTTCATATAGTAAGTCCAATGATAATTTATGGACTGACGTGACGAGAAAATACACTAATTTTACGGATTACACTTTTTCGTACCACTGACCTGTCAACCGCGTTCTCTTCTCAGGATTACCCAAATCATCCAACTTCTTTTCTATTTCGTCCAACCTGTCTTTGACGCTGTCCTCGTCTTTCTTCCAGTCTCTCAGAAGCTCTCTGTAATGCCGCTCGATTTCAGGATCCATGCTGTCGTTTGCAAGACTATCGATGGCTTTCTCATAAACACCTGCTCCTCCCAGTCGCACCAGTGTGTCCCGGATGTTCTGCCAGTAATGACTAAATGTAACATCATCGACAGACGCCTGGTTGGCATGGGCGTAGACTGTGTTCCTGTAGAACTTGATGCGAGCAATATCAGCCTCGCGACTCGTGTCTGTTTCAGGAGGAAGATTATCCCAACCAGTGGCAGGAGTCAACAGATTACAAATGTTCCTGAACAGAACCATCAGCAGAGTGACATCAAAGTGCTTCGATGAAACTGAAGTCTTATCGGCAGGGTACAGTTTGCTCCACTGCGTCGGATTAATGATTCTTTTCTTGAAAAGCGACTGCAATGTGTTATGTACTAGAGGATCTGCCAAAACTCTCTGAAGGCGGCTTGGTAAATGAATTTTATCGAATGTTTCTCTTAAAATCTGTGAGCCTACATCTACAAGAAGTCGGCACAACCGAGCGTAATTTGTTGTCTCGTTTGTTGACGAAAATGATGCAGAGGCCATGATCAACCCGTCTGACCTAGAGGAATTAAAGATTAAATTAATTAAAAGTACTCTGATAATTACCATTCATTCACCGGAGTAGAACACGAAAACAGGAGCAGGAGCAGGAGCACACTCGTTGAATTCTGTATCGCTCTTGAAAAATTTACCCATTTTTCCAAATTGAATTCGAAATCATATGATAATCCTGTGATAACCTTTCCATAGTCGCAGAAGTTTTGGAAACGTCATTGGTCATCGGTGCAGGGACCATGGAGACCCATCTACTTGTCAAACCCAATGCAAAACTCAATCGCTGGCAGGATGTATGGGTAATTTACTGAGCGTGAGGTCAAGATGGCTGGATATCGGCCAAGTTATTTTTTTTGCAAAAAAAGCTTGGTCAGTAAAGGATTAATTATATGTGACAAGGAACTAGTTTTTCTTGCGGAAGGCAGCGCATAATCCCGAGCGGGCAAGATGGAGCCATCTTGCCTGCTCGGGTAGCCAGTTGCGGCGTAGAATTAATATTTGGTTCAACTTGTCCGCTCTCAGAGCTGGCCACATAATATGAAATTTACTATATGTTTACCTCTGCGAGCGGGCGGGATGAATCATATTCTGCGCGGTGATTGGGTTAGGAAAACGAACAGGCTAGTCGTGTCAATCTTTCCCGCTTGGGAATGCCACCTAACCCGCGGGAAAACGGTGTTCTGTATGCCATTCTGCGTTTCGGTCTATAACTGCCAAGATCTTGGGCAACATCCAGCCACCTTGACCGAACAAGATTGGTCAATAGCCAATCATAATGGCGAACTCACATGACGAGCTTTGAAAGGCTCAAAACCTATTATGCAAATTAGGTGAGGGCACATTGAATGTGCCCTCGGCTAATTTGCATAAGTAACTCTATGCCATGGTTTGACACCTTGTAGCGCCAGGAACATCAGATGAGGTGTTTTTCTAATTAGTCGTGTACTGTAAAAGATGACAGTACTGAGTGATGGTTACAATAAATCGCGGATAAAAATAATTTGGCTGGTATTTTTTCGCGCGAAGACAGAGACTAGCGCTAACATAACACGCAGAACCGAGAGCGCGAACAATATTGCAACTTACGCTTACTAATTTTACAGGCTAAACTGGAAATTAAATCATTACGACGTTGTGACAATGTCCAAAACAATTTATTCAAATTATTTCATTTNGAAATGTCCTTTGGGGTTATTAGGCTTTATCTCAAGGACGAAACCCAAAATTTTTCGAAACTTTAGAGTTTCGTCTAAGACCTTAATGTACAGTAGAACCTCCACTAACGCCCGGCGGACGGTCCAAACATTCACTCTTATTTTGACCTCTCTACAACGGCCATTTTTCCACAACGGCAACGGCAACTAAAGCGTATCAAAACTCCTCTCGACAACGGCCAGTTTGTCAACGACTGAATGGTGTATTTAGAAATTTCGTTTCGCACGTCGTTGGTCTCTGTTTCTGTTTGGTTTCTATTTAATTGATATATTTTCATTGCTACGTATTTATTTGCTGCAACAATCATTCTTCTTTTAAAAAAAATGTTGCACACCCTAACTAAGAAATGTGTCCTATTACACCCCTCCCTCCCCATAACGGCCACTTCTTCACGACGACTACTTTTCTCTCTCCCCCAAGAAAGAAAGCAAAACACTTTGTAGTGCATTTCTAGCAATTTTGTGAGCGTCAGTAACCGAGATACTCTACCGAACCCATTGTCTGATTACCCAGAGGTCAAGAATGTGGAAACAATTCTACGTTTTACGAGCAAAACGGGAATCCATCATGTTCTTCTTGGAGATGGATAGATACATCTAGCTAGCCAAGGATTTTCGATAGAATAACATATTTCCTTCGTCATATAAACGTTTTATTACCTCGCTACACTTTTTTTATATAAGAATATCGGCGCTCAAATTCTCGAAATTTTAAGAATAAACTGAGGCTGAGATTTTGAAAAGAATATGACTATTTGTGTTAAAAGTTGGTAAATAAAATAAAATTCTTCCTTTCTCTGAAAACGGCAGCCAACAGCACAAGCAATTATGCGCGTGACATCAGGCGTTAATGGTCTATAATGCCTGCAGGCTGGCTTCAACATCCAGACGCCAAATAAATACAGTCGAAAACAGAAATGTCATATGCTATAATATAAGAATATTCACAAGAATAAAGTCAGCCTAGAATAGGCAGAAAAAGAAGAATATTCAGCTTCAGCTTACAGCTTTCTTACTTGTAATCGAAAATTTACGCACGAATGATTAAATATATTCAAATTCCACCAAATGGAAATGATCTAAGTGACAGCCGGAAATTTTATGCAGATGAGTCGAAAGTAAAACTGCTTGTCTCGGTGGTTCACGATCTTGTGTCTGTAATGTGTTAGGAATCTGTAACATGTGTGATATACGACTAAGATCAAGGAGCTTGTTACTCTGGAAAGAGGGTAAAGAATTATGCTTGAAATGAACACCGAAAAATTACGATTATCAAAATATTTATAAGCTTACCTTGATCTACCTTGTCTCGCGGAATTTCTGAAAGAGACACAAGAACTTCAGCGACAACTACTAAAGTTTTAACCAAACAAATGTGAATACGGCAAATTACATCTTTGATGAAGTTCTGATGGCTTCTGACCATCAGCTAGTTTGCTTATCACCCAGGCGAGAAGAACAGTAACCGCACGAGACACAAAGCTGTGGTACAGAGCGTGCGATCAACAAGTCAATAAAATTCGCCCCCAGTTTCAAAATCCTGGAGTTCTTGTGAGCTGTTGCGTGATTTCTTATTAGGATCCAGACTCCGAGCCGTCACCCAAAGTCACGCAGTGCACAAAATGTTTTCACTCGTCGTTACTCAAAGTGAGCATTTTGAAGAAACGTAGAAAGAAAAGTTAAACTTTTTTGCAGGGTAAAAAACAAGATGCCAGCTTGTTTTATCAACACGCCGTGGTCAGGTAACTGTCTTGTTATATCAAAGTATCAACCTCCTCCCCAGGGTTTTCTCCACTTGTCAAAATGGCGGGCCGGGGAAGGCTGAACAGACGCTCGCTAATTGGCTTTTTCATACGAAAAGGCTGACTGGCTTTAATAATCCTAAAGAAGTCTGGCGGATACAGCCTGTTACCTGTCATAGTTATGCAGCTCAATCCAAGCGATGTTGAATCAAAATGCCGTTTACAATTTATTGGGAAATGTGAATCTTTTCCGTTGTTTTCATGATTTACAAGATTCGATACGTTTTTCCACTTAGTAGATGACAGTACAGACCATGAAAAACGTGGCCATATTTATGATTGTTTACTTTCATTAACACCTTGGCACGTTAACGTTTAAAAGCTGTTCATCAAAAGAAATTGTTTTAAAGAACCAAAAAAAAAAAAAATTTGAAAACTAACCTGCTCTGGTATAGCGAGAGTTATCAGAGATAGTCCGGCGGCACAACTGGAAATTTCAGCGAAATTGTGCATTTTATGATATAAGCATGAAATTTGGCACACTGATAGCAGTCTCCAATACGGGCATTTTCAGGTATAGCGCCAAGTTGGAAGTCCACTGGTTTCCATGGAAACCACCATTTTGTTAAAATGCGTGAAATTCCTCTGTTTACCTTAGTTATCGATATTTCATGTGACTAGCACTAAAACGGAGATAAATCAAACTTCTTGTGCAAGAAAAGCTGATTTATGTACGTGCTGTTTATACTGTTTAGGTATATGCTGCTATTTATGAAAAGTCATCCGGCTTCACCTTAATGAGAAGGCTTCGAAAACGTTTCCCCAAGTTTGTCCGCCATGGGATTGACGTATTTGGCTACGCTTTCAAAGCTTAATGAAATCCAATGGCAGTCCCATCTGGGTCTGTCTAACGGTCACTGGAAGTGTAACAGCCACATCCTCCCATACGCACCTCTGTCAGGAAGAAAAACTCAGTTGGTATAGTGAGCTCTGTGGGAGGCAGTACAGCGGTATTTCGCCAGTTTACTGCCATTCCATCTCTTGTAGATCAAATTGTCAGCAAGGAAGTCGCTTGGGGGCAGCTCGGAATAGTCATGCAGGAAAGCAAACGGGTTATCTTTCGAGCCACCACAGTTTGTATAGCGAAGAGTTTTTCCATTGGACTAAAACCCAAGAACCTTTAAATTTAAGCCAGCTACGTCGGAAAGATTTTGAAAGTCATTACAAGACTAAATAAAGAGTTCTACAATAAATAATGTATCGTAAATGATTTATGTAATGCGACGAACAGTAGTTTTGTTACCTGGCAACAAGTAGTCTCCCAAGTGACTATTGACTGGGGACGTATATCCGTCATAATTGTTGACACGAGCTCCAAGTAGATGTTGTTTGTATTGTACAAGCGTGTAAGGTTGAGTTCCATCTTTCTTTTGAATCCTCGTCGGTACCTGCGATTAGTAAACAGTTCGGAGATCATCTGCTGACTTTCAATACTCCGGATGGCTGTTCTAGGGACAAAAGTGAAGCCACCTCCAGCAATCGCCATTTTACAGTAGACAGTGATAGCTTTACAACTGGGAACAGGCTGAATGGAGTACGTGACGCTCAGAGAATCGGGAAAGTCTGTCTGTATATCCAGGCATGACTTGAGGTAATTTTGCTCCTGAAACAGAAGAGAAACGATAATCAAAGGACGATCATCGGTGGAAAACAGGAAAGAAAAAAACGATTTAAGACTAGGGAGAGCTCGTGCAGACTGATTCTTAACTAGTCTCCCTTGGGGTGGTGTTTTTACCCATTCACAGGTATTGGTAAGTAAGTAGACGTGATGTAGTTTGTTTTCAGAGTAGCCTCGGAAGGATATTTTGATTTTTGTTGCCTCGTTAACCTTCCGATACATTTACATTACAATCAGTACTAATTCACCTGTTTAAAGCGTGTTTCCCACTGCACGAAAACATGCATTGTTTTTGTAATCAATTGGGTTCCTGTTGAGTTTGGTTTCTTCTTCGTAGCACTCAGGTGCACTGAAGAAATGATGATAAAAATACACTCTGATTTCCGTTTTTTGGCTCCATCTCCACCGATCTCTCGTGTCCGGTCTACTAGCGCGGGCTCCTTTCCTGAACAGCGGCTGGTAATCGAGCCTATTCTGTTTAAAGTGGTATATTTTAGGGGTTGAATAAAGCTCGAGACACGCCCAGATTGTTCTTCTTTAGGGGTTTAATTCACATTTTTCCGACGAGCATCCTACCAGCTGTCCAAAGTTTCGGCAGATCACGAAAGGTGCATAACGAACATGGAATCTGCCCGCGTAGCAAATGAGAGCGGGACGGCTGAGGGAGGTTTTTCGCAGTAAATCGGGGAAAAAAATGACACGAAAGATAAAAAATTCGAAAATGGTTTGTTGCACTGAATTTTGAATAATTTACAGAATCAAAATACTCGCTGACCCTAGCAACGTTCTATAATTTGCCGCAAGGCCTAAATCGCTATTTTTAAGTAATTTTAAGCCCTTTTTTTAAAGTACAAAGATCATTTTAACCTGATAATAAAAAGATCGCACGGAAAAACATAAACTTAAGATTATTACGTACGCAATGTCAACTGCGAAGAAGAAAGGCCGACTTACTGGTTACGTCTTCTTCCAAATGAATAATTATCTGTTTACAAGTTTCAAAAAAGAAATTAATTCGAAAACGTGTTGAAAAGTATTCTTTGAAATATGCCGGAAATAAAACAACTATTTGTACAGTGACAATGTTTGTACAAAAGTGCGCAACGTTATTTATCACCAAAGTTAATTGTTATGACTTTTAAACATGTTTTGTCGAGAAAAAAAGGAAAAAGAATTCAAAACTGAAAGGTAGGCAATTTTATGAAAGGTAGCGCAACTTGTTTTTAAGTTAGGTCATAAACG